ATTATTGATATATAATAAAACAAAAATAAATAAATAAATAAAATTAATTTTTTCATATATAAAGTAGCAAACAAACCATTAAATACAATGTCAACTATATATTTATCGAATACTCGATCTAAATTATTTCATCATAAAAATTAAATTGAATACATTTAAAGAAATTTTAGAGGATGCATATTATGTTGTGAAATCAAACTAAATGCTCGAGTTTGTATATTATATTATATATTTTTTTTAAATAAAAATAGTTGGTGAAATATTTATATATAACACTATATTTATTGAAAGAAAATAGAAGAATTCCATGGCCATAGACTTTATTGACATTTTCAAGAATAAGTTGTTGATAACAAAAACTTGGTCAACAAATTTGAGTCTAATTTCATTCTCTACTTCATAAAAGTTTGATCTTTTGGTATGTTTTTAATAATATGGAATACTATCTCCGTTCTATACCTAAGTATTCATTTGCTTTTTTATGTAGTTTTAAAAATATTAGTATTTTATTAGGATATAGTAGGAATAAAGTAGAAATGATTAAAATAACCTTATTAGTACGTGTGATACAAAGGTAATGACATTTGTGTAATATATTGTAAGTTGTAAGGTTATTTGTAATGTTAGGTAGATAGTACAATTACTAAAAAAAGAAAATAGATACTTTGTTACGAGACGAACTAAAATGGAAAAATGGATACTTTGTTATAAGACGGATGAAGTATTTGAATTGAAATAAAATTGTAATACTAATAAGTATTTAATATTATACTCCCTCCTCTGTTCCGGTGCAATGTTGCCGTTTACTTTTTGTACGTATATTTTTAAATATTAGTATTATAATGAATTGTAGTAAAAAATACGAAAATGCCCATATTAGTATTGTTTAATATAAAAGTAATAAAATTTATGTAATATAGTATAAGTTGGAATGGTATTTATTATGTTAGGTAGGTACTACAATTACTAAATTAAGAAATGATAACCTTATTTTGGGACAGACGAAAATGAAAAATGACAACCTTTCAGTGGGAGGGAGAGAGTATTTTAAACAAAAAAAATTAGATGCAATTATTAAAAATTATTTAACCCAAATGTATTAAATAATCTTAAATATTTCCATTGTAAAAACAGTAGTGTAATAAAAAATAGATTATATTTTTTAAATAAAGATATATCTAATAAATTATATATAAACAAATAAACAATTTATAACAATCCTAGGGGTGTTGGTTTGTTTTTTAAACTATCAATTTGATGAACGTTTTTTTTTTTTTTTTATTTTTTATTGTGGTTTGAAATTAATTTGAAATTTTGTTAAATATTATTTTAATGTGATATTTTATTAAACATTTGAAATTTTGTTTAAATATTATTTTAATTTGATATTTTATTAAAAATTATACAAAGTAAAAAGAATATTGATTTTAATCCAAAAAAACAAAAGAACAAACCCCTATTATTATTTAATTGTATGTTTCATAAACATTATTATTTCTCTCATAATTTTTTTAAAAAATATTTATTTTGTTTCATAAAATATCAAATAAAAATCTATTTAAATTAAACTAAATACAAACGAATATTAAATTACAAATGAAAAAATTTGTCAAATGTTGTGTGGAAATTCTCTTCTCCACGCTGTCCTTTTCTCTGCCATATTTCTAAAAGAATATTAAATTTATTAGAAAAAATAAAAAAATAAATAAATAAATAATACAGCAAAAGGACAAATATATCCTTTTTCCATTAGCTTTTGTGTTTGTTTTGGGGTTTGGATTTTAACTTGGGATTTAAATAGTAAAAAATTTTGAATTTGAATAGTTGTATGAAGTGATATAAATAGGTGTTAGATGTGATGTTTTAAATGTAAAATTGATTTTTAGTATAATATAAAAAATAAAAAATAGGTGTTTGATTTGATATTTTTGGGGAGAAAAAATGGGATGAATAATAGAAATAAAATCCAATCTCCTAAACAAACACACCCTAAATATATATATATATATAATGAATTATTATTTTATGCACAGATTAGAGATTATATATACATTATTTTAACTAATAAACAAATTCATCATTATATAGATAATTAAAACAATACACAGACTTTCTATATTTATACTTAAAAAAAAAAATAGAGATTCTGTTAAATATAATGATAAATTTATATAGTGAGGGTGTGTTTGTTTGGGGGCTTGGATTTTGAGTTGGGATTTGAATGGTAAAAAGTTTGAATTTGAATAGTTGTATGATGTGATATAAATAGGTGTTGATGTGATATTTTGAATGTAAAATTGATTTTTAGTATAATATAAAAAATAAAAAATAGGTGTTTGATTTGATGTTTTTGGGGAAAAAAAAAGAGATGAATAGTGAAAATCTAATCCAATCTCCCAAACAAACACACCTTATTTTTGTTTTTATTATTCCCTTTGTGCTGAATAGTTAAAAGTAGTGTAACGATATTTTTGCCCTTAATTTTTTAAAAATAAAAGTAATTATGTGATGTAAAATAAGGGTATTTGTTAAACAAAAGAAAATGGTATTTAATGAAATTGTTACTTTGTAATTGATCGTCCCAAAATAAAAATATGTATACTTTCTAGCTGGACGGATATAATACTCCCTCCGTCCCTTAACAATCTATCTATTTTTTCATTTTGGTCCGTCCCATAATAAAGTATCCATTTTTTTTTTTTTTTTTAGTAATGGTACTATCTATCTAACATTACAGGTATCCTTCAAATTTACTTGTAGAAATGTCATTACCTTTATATCACACTATACTAATAAAGTTATTTTAGTCATTTATACTTTATTCATATTACATCAAAATATAATACTAATATTTTTAAAATTTCATGCAAAAAAATAAATTGATACATAATTATGGGACGGAGACGGAGGGACTATTATTATTATTTTTTTTTAATTTTTAAAGTCAGAAGATTTAATGCATTGTACATATATATTGGATACAACTCTCCAGTTGTCCCTAGGAACACTAGCAATTTAATTATTTTTATCATAGCTAGCTTAATTTGATATTAAAAATTAAAAAAAAATAAAAAATTAAATTAACCTACGTACATGCGGTTGGGAGAGTAATTAAGTCAAATTTCAATAATACAATTGACCGTATGTGTGTGAATTTATTTTATTTTAGGAGACAAATTAATAATAATGCATTATAATGTAATAAAGTTTGAGAATTTATACACACACTAACATAAATAAATAAATAAATAAATAATTAAATCAATTAATTAATTAATATTATATATACATATTAATATTACATGCTTGCAAGTGTTAATTGCTACGGAATGCATATTTGTTAAAACTAGCCACATGAATAAATAATTGGGTTATTAATGGAGATTATTTTGTAAATGAAATTAAAGACATTTAATTATAATTCTCGCCTGCAAACCTCAAATAAGACAAAATTTAATATGTCCACTATAATTTTTATTTTTATTTTTATTTTATTTTTAAATCCTAGCTAGTACTATAATTCTATTTATTTATTTTTAATAATGAGAATTTTTTTTTTATTTATTTTTTATTTTTTGTTTTTTTTTTAAAAAAAATATACACTATAAAATTTGGGCCGTTGGTCTATAAATTTATGCATGGGCTTCTCCTCTAATTGATTCAAAGTTCACTTGTGCATTTCTTTGTGAAATAATTATTTAATATGAATTTTATTTTTTTTTTCAAAAAATTGTATGTGTAGAAAAAAGAAATATGTTAATGTCATAAATATAATTTTTTTACGATTTACATACAATTTAGATTAAATTAAAGTGGATCATATTATCTAAACGAGTTATTTAATTTTCATTTCGAATCGACTTGTCTTTCAAATTCGAATTTGATGACTTCTTTAGAGACTTTGAAGAAATACTTAATTTTTGATTTTGTTTCTTTGAAGAATTCCGAAGGAATCGATTCTTGATTGAATTATTTGAAGAATTTGGAGAAATTTGATCTTTTTAGAAATAATTCATCCCGACTTATAATACAATTTGATTTTTCTTTTCTAATAAATTAAAAAATAATAATATTTTATTTGTTAGTAAAAATATATTATAAAATAATTTGACTCCCTCTGTCAGCTAAATTTATTCTGAACTTTCTTTTTAATCTTATCTCATTACTAATTTTGGTAAAATCGACAAATCAACATTTAATTATTACCCTTCGTTCAACATTAATTTACAACAACTACTAATAATTTTTTCAATAAAATATTCATTTTCTTAATTTCCTCCGGGCCCAAATGAACTAATATTAATGGACGGAGGGAATAGTATTTTTGTCATTGCAAGTAAAAGAAAATAAATGCATTTATAAAAATATGAGTGTTTGAGTATTTATATATGAATTATTTTTGTTATAGTAAAAAATATATATTTTTAAGTGAGCCAAACGAAAATAGTAAAAATATATAAATTGAGTAGGGATGGAAAGAGCATAACATTTCATCATTCCGAAATTCATGTTCATTTTTACATGATGTTTGTTAATCTCAAGTAAGCGATTGTTAGATAAGATTGTCTTATTAGCGAATTTTATTTGGATTAGTATCTCCCGAATATGTAGTATATTTACATCCGAGTTGAGCAACAAATTACAATCTTCTTTACTTTTTGTTTTCTTTAAAACTACTCACCACACAATCAATGAGGTTGAACGCGTGACCGTAAGGTTATGGTTCAAACCTTCGCCTATGGGATTTGGTTTAGAGGGTATTAGATTCGGCTGAAGGTTTACTCAGTGCGCGCTTTCGGATAGCTGCTGCGGATTTCCACGTCATAAAAAAAGATAAATAAATAAATAAATCACACAACTCGTGTAAAATAATAATAATGATGAAAAATCACACACAACAACAGCTTGAGTCTGCTATCTTACTCTGAAGTTCTTTGATACGACGTCGTAGTACGTGTGGATGGATTATACCCAAATCAAGCCCTAATTTAAACACGCGAAAATCAACGTACAACTCCTTGAAGCTTGAATTTGCCGCAACGTACTACATGCACTCCGGCCAACCGCTTTGTCCACAGGAAAATGGAGGCCACTCGGAACGCTCACTGCATTCAATTTCTCCTCCTTTCAAGCCATGGCGGGAGGAGCAAACACGGCAGGGCTACAGCACGAAAAGCACCGTTATCCCTGAATTCAGAGATGAAGGAAAAAATCGAGATAAGAGTGTGCACAAACAGGACGTGCAGAAAGCAAGGTTCACTGGACGCGTTTCAAGTGTTCTCCGGAATCGCTCCTCCTTTCGTCACTGTGAAGTCCTGCGGGTGCCTCGGGAGGTGCGGGTCGGGTCCCAATGTGGTAATTTTTCCGGAGGGTATTGTTGTCGGCCATTGCGGGACGCCGACCAAGGCTGCCGATACGATGTCGTTCGTCTGCGGCGGCAGCGTTGCCGATGACAGAGACGCGGTGAACAACTGTTTGGAGGCATTAGCTTTGAGGAAGAGGGCTGAAGAAGATACTTGCCGGGGTGACTTTGCTCAGGCCATCAATTTGCTGTCTCAGGTATACAATTAGAAAGCTTTTCTTGTGCCTTAGTATTGAATGATTGTAGCTGTTGCTTTTACTTGTGCTCTCTGGTGGAAAGATGGAGATTTATAGGTGGTTAATTTCCAGGCTCTTTAGTGTGTTACAGATAGAAAATATGGATAAATAAAGTGTTTTTCTTGTAGCAAACATCATGAGATCGTCGATATAAAAGAATTGAGAGAAGATAAAACTTTGGTTTTTGGGAGGAGAAGAACTCTATAGGGGTTAGCTTAGGGAAGCTTTTGTAATTATGATTTGAGAAAGTGAAATCTTGTGAATAAGTAATCAACAATAATTTAGAAAAGCAATCGTAAGTATGATAACATTCATAATGAAGATTCTGCTTAAGGACATTCTTAATCAAAATAGCAACATAAATTATGAAGTCATGAATATAGCAAAGTTTAATCATTCAATACGAATAGAGATTTCTTCCGAATTCTTTATCTGGCATGCGAGCCCATAGTCCTTATCAAAAAGCCAGCGGCTTTGGTTTGGCACATCATTAAATAATGTGATAAAGATAATTTTATTTTACCATTCAACTCATCCATTTTTTGCTCACCAGGTTTTGAGAAATGATCAAATATTTATTCAGAATTTTATTTCTTAAATTATCCCAAAGCAAAAATTTCAATAGTTACTTTAAGTGTATCTTAGGGTTAAGGTTTGTGGATAGTAAAATTTCTAATTGAAATAGGATTTGACATATGTGATTGCAAACAATGATTTATTTATTTTTATTTTTAGATATTTGTTTGATTCGATGATTTCGGGAATAAACTGTGCAAAACCAAATCCAAATTTACCGCAATAGGGAAACTGTTTGCAAGAACTCTGCATTTTGATTCTAGTACTTCAAATCAGAATAAGAAATTAAATTTAGATGCAAAACCATTATTTAGATTTTGTATAGATTAAGCCAGAACCATTGAAAGTTTTCAACCTTGATTTCACACTATTCATTCTACCTTCTACCTTGTACACTAAAATGAACAAAGTCATCCTTCTATGTTTCCTTCTCTGCCTTTTGCCCTCTCTTCTTTACGTAGAGTTGAACACACTTTTTGTATTTTATTTATTGTAAGCAGTTAAAAACAAGAGTAGAAATTTGTTTCGACTTATCTGCTTTCATTATAGGTACAAATTTTTTCCTATTATTTCTGTGTTTGCTTGGGGGTTTGGATTTTGAATTGGGATTTGAATAGTAAAAATTTTGAATTTGAATAGTTGTATGATGTGATATAAATAGGGGCTGATGTGATGTTTTGAATGTAAAATTGTTTTTTAGTATAATATAAAAAAATGAAAAATAGATGTTTGATTTGATGTTTTTGGGGTAAAAAATGGGATGAATAGTGTATTTAAAATCCAATCCCCCAAACAAACACGCACTATGTAGAGTATGCTGTGTGCCATAGAGCGGACCATTGTACAAGCAGAAGCTCAATAATTATATACATGCTGTGCTTGCAGGCTATTGATCTCAAACCGTTCGGCGGTGTGCATATAATGTATAAGGACAGGTTTGTATTACTTTAACCTAGCTCACTTCCTAAATGAATTTTGTTCTATTGTTTAATCGTTAGAATATCCATAATACTAAGAGAAATTTGGAAACTAATAATACACAGTATACAACCTCCTTAAATTGATACTATGATACTTGGTAAATGAATAAATTCTCAAATATAATACTCCCTTCGTCTCAAAACAATAGTCCCATTTTGCTATTTTCGTCCGTCCTAAAGCAATAGTTTCATTTCCGTTCTTGGTAACTAGCTCCCACCATTTTACAAAACTATCCCTACATTTTCCCAATAATTATATAAAGTAAGAGTATTTTTGTCTTTTAAAAACACTTTTACACCAACTGTCAATATAATATATAATACTATTATTCTTTAATTCCCGTGTCCATCCCAAATGTCCCTATTGTTCTGGGACAGAGGGAGTATCTTTTCGATGCCGGCTTGGGACAATTGAATGCTTAACAAGTTTAGACAAGGTAACATAAGATTGGTTGTGTTTTGGTGTGTTTGACATAGGAAAATTTTGAATTATAATAAATGTTTAATGTGATATAAATATGTCTTTGTGCGATGTTTGAATAATTTATTTTTTTCTAAAATATATTAAATATAAAATAGATGTAAGATGTGATATTTTGGGGGGAAAATTAAATTATTGTAGATAAATAGTAAAACAGGAGAAAGGAAAACACAACCAAACAAAACCCGAACGTTTTGAAAGTAACCTTATGTGAATATATTTTCTAGTTAATATCATAAAATAATAATTAAAATTATATGATTCTAGTGTTTGTTTTTTCTTAAAATTCAAGTCTTTTTGGTGCCCATCAGATTTTACCGGTAAGGGCGGGGTAGGTGCTGCCATAACCATGTCTGCTATTTTGTATCAGATTTTGCCGGTAGTGTATGTATGTATTTGATGCACCTTGAATGTCAGATAACATTATATTTCCATCAGGTCTTCAGCAAGATTGGCAATGGGAGATGCAAATGGAGCACTTGAGGATGCTAAAGAAGCTTCGTCTCTTGCCCCTCACTACCCCGAGGCAAGTAAATGTTAATAATTTCGTTCTACTGAATTTCTTGCATTTGTAGTCATTGCATCCTTTTGAAGAATTAAAAATGTGCAAATTTGATACGATAACTTTCACTTTTGAGAACGACTAGCAGGCGAGGACATTTATTTTTCTTATATTTGTCAACTTCATTTATACGTGAGCTGTGTTAGATCTTCCCATAATATATATAGTTATCTAGTCATTCTTGCTCTTTCTATGCAAGGTCGTACGTATGTTTCAGTGTTGGTATTATCTTTCGATTTATTTGAAAGCCCTCTTTTACTCAATTTATTCCTTAACTTCATTTGTATAGGCTTATATTTGTGAAGGCGATGCTTTAATGGATTTGCATCAATTTGACACTGCTGAGAAATCTTATTCGTTCGCTTTAAATTTGGACCCTTTGATCCGTCGTTCCAAATCATTCAAGGTATCTATCATTTGCATTTGCATCTGCATTCTTGTTAATCAGGTTGTTTTCAGTAACGTTAATACGGAATTTCTATTGAAGTAGCATTAATACGGAATTTTAAAAACAATCGTTTTGATGTGCTTATGAATTTCGAATCTTTCCAGGCTAGAATCACGAAGCTTCATGAGAAACTGGCTTTGACAAACTCGGGTTGAAATGTTCTTTTTTAAAGTTACTTTCTTGAGGTATAATATCGAACTTCAGGTTCTATTTTTTTACTTTGTTTTATTTACGCTTTCGCTGTCGTTGGCGCCAAATATCTTTGTAATACAAGGCGTTACATGTGAATTAAACTCGATTGCAGTATGTAAATTAAAGCTTGGCGATTTTAGTTATACCGTATTCATACAGCATTGTTTAGCAATATATCTTGATGCATTGCTGTAAAAACGTTTCGAGTCCCTGAATCACATCGACTATGGTGCAATATGCTAACAGAGCCCCGTATCGAGCAAAAGTTTGGTAATTTTACATATATCTATATCCGTATCATCGATTGCTATGCTATTTTTCCAGCTTCATATTGCTCGGGCTCGTATTTTGTGTTTTTACCTTCTTGCAGAGCCCCCGCGATCGAACAGATTCAACTTCTTGACGCTGCCCCACAGGTTCGAAACCCTTCCACGATCGATTCTTGCATCTACGTCGCGACGATCGTCATCTCTTTTCATATCGAAGCTAAAGCATTTACTCAGACCAGCCGTGCCGAGTACGTCCAGGTTTGCGCCTTCTCGTCCCTTAAAGCTCATATTTCTCTCGCTGTGGTTCATAATCTGCTCGAAATACTCCCGATTCTGTTTCTCCAGCCTGTGTATCTCCCCCTCCAGGTCCTCGATTTTCCGAGTCAGCGCGCGGTGATCCTCGTTCGACTTCAGCGCGCATCTCGCCAGCTCCACAGCCTTCCTCTTCAAGAACAACGACTCCGAAGCGAGACATTTGTTCTCCTCCACCATTGCCGAAACTCGATACTCCAAAGTCGCATTGTCGTTCAGAAGTATCAACCTCTCCGACTCCAGCACGTCGACCAAATTCCTCTGCAGCTCCACCTTCCGCGACGACTCGGCCCGCCTCTTCTCCGCCGCGGCAAGCTCTCTCGTCGCGATGTCGTACTCAACCGTCTTCATGACCAATGCTGCAACCACCGTATCGGCGTCCATCTCTTTAGCTTCGACATTCGACAGAGTCGAATCGTGGAAGGACGCGGAACTCTCTGAATCGAAATCTACGACTTCTCCTGGGTCTCCCTCGCCCGATTCTTCTTCGGAGTTCGCGTACATCGCCGGCGATGAGGTATTCTTCGCGAGGACATGGCAGTATCGATCGGCCAGGGAGAGGTACTCGTTGTACAGCTCGCGGAGCAATGCCGGCAGCTGCAGGCGCTCGCCGTTGTAGGAATTCGCCCGCGCCGCGGAGCCGTCGTCTGACGGGTTTTCTTCGGGTAATTTCGTTGTCAGAATCTTCATCTTCTCGTCCATATCTGCTGGATTTTCAAATAGGATTAAACACACAAATTTTGTCCAATTTTTGTTTTTTGGTTAGTAACGATCGAAAGTTACCGTTATGTATTGAGATTTTAATTTGTATTGGAAGTTAGAAGTTTTGGGTTTTAAATAAATGTATTCGGCAATAAATCTAATTCCCTCTTTAGCAAGGCAAGATGTCAGTGTCTTTTTAAAATTTAAACGATGGGGAAATAAATTCGAATTAATTTTGACATAAAACCTTCAAAAAAAAAAAAATAATAATTATAATAATATTTTAATATGACTATGAAATATGTATAAATATATTGATAATGCCGACTTGATCGTATATGCAGCTAATTTCTACCTTTTTAATGTAAAATAAAGTAGGTTAAAAAAAAAGAAAGAAATATTATATAAATTAATTAATTAAAGAGTTGACAATAAAAATAATGAGATAAAATAATAATAATAATAATAATAATAACTTAATTATTTTTTATTAAAATAGAATAGTAAAAATTGTAAGTAAATATATATTATTTACCATTATTAAGGATTCTACTTATTTGGTAATTGTTTTTCTTCGTATTGAATTTGTAAGTAATTTTTTTTTTCTTTATTGTACTGTCTTTTCTATTTTTACCATTTTTATAATTTATAAATTTTATAATAAAAAAATAAAGGCAATAATATAGTTAAAAGTTTTCTTAATTGTGAATCTAACAAGCAAATCATGGCAGAAGGAGTATGTTCAAAAATAATATGGAAGTATTGATTCAATTTTATATTATTTTTTTATTTCTTTTAAGAACTATTTTATAAATCAGTTTATTTTAAAAATACTTTATTATTCTTAAAATTCTTCTAAATTTTTCATTTTTAAAAAAGGCCCACATCAGGTGTATTCATTATATATATTTCAAATTTTAAAATTTTAATACTCGTCTTTTTGCATTAAATATTTATATTAAGTAATTATTTATTTTTAAATTACAAAATACTCTTTTGGTTTTAAAACAATAGTTTCATTTTGCTACTTTCGTTTATTTCAAAAATATAGTTTTATTTTTATTTTTGGTGAAATTTTTTTCACATTTTTATAAAATTATTCGTACTTTTTTCACAATAATTATAGAAAATATGGACATTTTTGTTTTTTAAAAATATTTTTACACTTACTATCATTGTAATATTATTATTTTTTAATTCTCGTGAAATATCTATGTTATTGGGATTAAAAAACAATAGTCCACCCCACATATGCCATGAATGTTCTTCGAAATTTGTGTTTTCAAATTTACCCCAACTTTCTAAATATTTTTTGTACTATTTAATATTTATGTTTTTAAAAAAATTCAATACTTCATCCGTCCCATAATAAAATATTTATTTTTTCATTTTAGTTCGTCTCATAATAAAATATTCATTTTTTTTTAGTAATTGTACTATCTACCTAACATTACAAATATCCTTACAACTTACAATATATTACACAAATACAAGTATCTTTATATCACAGCATTCTAATAAAGTTATTTTAGTATTTTTATTTTATTCCTACTACATTCAAATATAATATTAATATTACTAAAACAACGTACAAAAAACAAACGGATACCTAATTATGAGACGTATAGAGTATTATATTTAGAATTCTATTTTTAATTTAAACTTTTTAAAAATCTAAAAATTCTCAGATACACACTTGTTTTATCCGATGTATATTTGAAAATTTCAAGTTAAATGTCAAAAGATATACTCCCTCCGTAACAAAATATTCATTTTTTTTTTATTTTAGTATATCCCATAACAAAAGTATCAATTTCTTTGTTTTAGTAACTGTACTATCTATCTAATATTACAAATACCCTTACAACTTACAATATATTACACAAATGCTATTACTTTTGTATCACACATACTACTAATAAGGTTATTTTAGTCGTTTATATTTTATTCCTATTTTATCATAATATAATACTAATATTTTTAAAATTATTTGCAAAAAACAAATGAATATCTAATTATGAGACGGAGGGAGTATATATATCTGTGTCTGATTGCGTGAATTCAAACCAATGGTCACTTTCTTTCTATTTAAATTCAAGAAGAAATAATATATATATATATATAAAATAAATTTAATGGTTGTTTGTTTACCAGCAATGGTGCAGAGCAGCCACGAAGGTTTGTCCAACCCCATTCTCCGCCGACCAATTGACGCCACAGCCACCGCCACGGCGGCGGAATACTCTCCGCCGCCGCCAGTTATCTCAGCCACCATTCGGACCTACAAACAAATAATTAAGCATTTCATTCATGCCCATTTGATTTGCATGCATATATATATATATATATCATTAATTTGCTGACAATAATAATAACAATAATTAATTAAATCATCTTTATTCAATGATGATCCAAATTCATGCAATAATTATTATTATTATTATTATTATTATTATTATTCATTTTTTATTATTTATTTATATGACATGAGAACCCCTCATTCACTAGCTGAAATTATGCATTGGGTAAATCTTCAGTCGAACCTAATACCCTGCAAACTAAATCCAACGGACAAGTTACATTAGGCGAACCATGTGTTGCAGAGGTTTAAAGAATTATTATTATTATTATTATTATTATGAGAGAGAGTGTGTATGTCAATGCCATAAATGGTATGATGACCAAACACACCAAACAACAGCTATCTGTCGTATAAATATATCTCTTTTTATAATAATAATAATAATAATAATAATTCAAAGGCAAGGCAATTAATAAACAATAACACTATTTATATCATTAGATATTAATAGATACAATAATGGATTTAAATTTAATTCAAATAATCAATAATTCAGGCAGGCACGCCACTGCTAAAATTAATTATATTTTCCTGTTTACAAACTTTTTTTTTTTTTTAAATATCGTATCAAATATATTTGTATTTTATTTTTTATATTAAATAAAAAATAATTTTATATTTAAAATATTACATAAATTCCTGTTAATATAAGGGCAAATAATTATCTAAATTCAATTTTTATTTTTTTTTATCCAAATCAAAATTCAAACCCTCAGACCAAATGCACCCTTAGAGGAGATGGGTGTGTGTGTTCTTATTTCTTAAGCTAGAGAGAGTTTTTGAAAGGAAAGAAAACAGTGGTGTGTTTGTTCGCGGGTTGGAATTTGAATAATAAAAATTTTGAATTTGAATAGTTGGATGATGTGATATAAATAACTGTCTGATGTGATATTTTGAACCTAAAATTAATTTTTAGTATAATATAAAAAATAAAAAATAAATATTTAATTTGATATTTTTGAAAAAAAAATAATGAAATAAACAGTATATTTGAGAAAAAATCCCCAAACAAACACTACCTGAAAGTATTGGAAATGAAGAAAGAAACACTTAAAATTAAAAACCAATGGATCCTAATAATAGTCAATCTGAATCTACTGTGGTAAAATTAAATGGATGTATATATACATACATATACATATATATATATCTTATATATATAGAGAGAGAGAGAGAGAGACGGTATGAAGAAAATACCTTCCTTCGTTCTTGAACTGATGAGACAAAGAGGAGAAAGAACGAACACTCAGAAACCAGAGAGAGAAACAGAGAGAGAGAGATAGAGGTGGTGCTAGCTGGTGTTGAGCAGTGTATAATATATATATAGAGAGCCGGTCCTGACTTTCGAAGGTCCGGGCAAAATAAAAGTTAAAGGCCCTTAAATATATATATATATACTTCCTTCGTCCTATTGAAAGATTATCATTTTCTATTTTCGTCTGTTTCAAAACAAAGTTACTATTTTCTAATTTAGTAATTCTATTACATCCATAATATAATAAATACCATTTTAATTTACATTATATTACATAAATGCCATTACTTTTATATATTACACTGTACTAATAGAGATATTTTTGTCCTTTTTACTACAATCTAATATAATATTAATATTAAAAAATCTACAACCAAATGCACCATTCCAATGGGATGGAAGGAGTATAATATTTTTTTACCAATAATAAAATAACATTTTTTTTTAGTATTTTTATGCAAAAATATAAATTTTGACTATTTGAGAATACATAGATTTGAACCTAAAATTTTATAAGTAGGACATGTAACAAGTAACCATTAAACTATATTTCTCTATTAGTATATTAAAATAAAATAATATATATATAAATATTTTATATGTAACATAAATATATAATGAACCTCTATTTAGATTGGATGATAGGCGGACACCCCTCTCGCCCAGGCCAGGCCGGCCCTATATATATATTAGAGAATATATAGAAATACATAATAGAGGGTTATTTATATACTCCCCCGGTCAAGAGAAATTTATAAAAAAAGATGAGACTAAATTTGAAAAGTATTCTTTATATATATACATATATACTTTTATAATGTATAAATCCACAGTCCAATTCAATAATCTGTAAATTAAATTCGACAAGTATTTATTTGTAAATTTATAGTATGAATGATGATGCATGGGTTTATGACAAACTGAAAGTGAACAGCCAGCTGCCCATGGGTTGATAACACGAGTGCGGGGTTGTCTGTAGGTTTGGATTTGAAGATAAGAATTTGAATGTAAAAATTTTGAATTGAAATAATTGTATAATATAATATAAATAAATATTAATTTGATGTTTTAAATTTATAATTAATTTTAATATAATAATATAAAAAATAAAAAATATATATTTGATTTAATATTTTTCAAAAAAAAAAATTTAATGAATAATAGCTAAAGAATTTGTTCAACAGACACATCCGGAAAAACAACATTTTAGACCCAAGTTCGGGCGGGGTGGGGTGGTTTGTTTCTATAAAAAAATAATAATAAACAAATAATAATAATAATTCTATCTTATTTTATAATATGGAAATCTGCCGCACCTATATGAAGGTGCGCTTTACGTAAACCTTTGGCCGAATCTAATAGCCGGCAAATCAAGTTCGACAAGACAAGTCACGCTAGGCGAACTATGTGTGACAGACAAGACCAGAAAGCGTCGGGATTTGAACCCATAACATTACAGTCATGAGTCCATCCCCAAGAGTTACACAAAATTCGTGATGAGCTTACTTTTCGAATACGATATTTTGACTCAATTCCTACCAAGGGTTACATAAAATTCGTATTGGGATAATACAAAGTTTAATCTCGAATTATGGTAGAAAATATCGAGACAATGTGAACTTAGGGAATAAAATGAGTATGAAGACTATAATTTCTTGCAGGATAAAACACTGAATGTGTTTTTCTTGTTTTTAATTATATCATTCAATATTTTCTGCAAATGGGACCAACCCGTCGATTGGGTCAAAATATCGTATTTGGAAAATAAGCTCATCACGATACAGAGTTATATTCGGCCATTTTTGTTGATAACCCAATAAAATCCCGAACAATTTAAACTTATAACATCACAATCATGAGTCTATCTCCACGCCACTAAATCATTCCTTGCGGAACTATCTTATTTTTATCATAGGTGTGTTTGTTTATCTATTAATTTGAGGTGTTTTTATTTTATAGGAGTATTAAGGATGAAAAAAATGTACTGATAAATTAAAACTAATACTCCCTCAGTTTCAAATCAAATCGATCTTTTGGAGTGTTTTTATAGGGTGTGTTCGTTTGTAAGATTTGTGCAAAATCTTACTATTTATCCAATTTTTTCCCTCCAAAAACATCAAATCAAACACCTATTTTTCATTTTTTATATTATACTAAAAATCAATTTTACATTCAAAACATCACATCAACACCTATTTATATCACATCGTACAACTATTCAAATTCAAAATTTTACTATTCAAATCCCATCTCAAAATCCAAACCTCCAAACAAACACACCCATAGTAAATTTAAAAATAATAATATTTTATTAGTTAGTAGAAGTTGTAAGAGATTCTGACATTTTTGTCCTTTCACTACATAAAGTAATTGAATGTGTAATAGTATATTTGTAATTTAAATAAAAGTCAATGATAAAAGTGTGTAATAGTATATTAAAAAATAATAATATTTTATTAGTTAATAAAAGTGTCTAAGAGTTTTAGAGGGTTTATAAAGTAATTGAATGTGTAATAACATGCTTGTAATTGAAGTAAAAGTTAAGAGTATTTTGGCATTAATGTATAATTATTTTTTCTAAAATTAAAAAGAAATATTTTAAAGTCTGACGGACAAATATAATAAAAATAATATTTTGAATTGGAATGAATAAAAATATTTAGCATTGAATTATTAATTTTTCTATTAGTGGAGTTCGAGTGCAAAAAAAAATCTTTGGGCGGATTACACTGGATGGTGAGATCAATGGGAATGAAATTGGATTAAAGGTTAAGAAAAATAAAATGTTAAGTTGTTTCTAAATTCAATGTTAATCCAATACAATTCATCACCTTGTGCTTTTTGTTCAATCAATTGTCGTTAATTTTTCGGAAAAAAGAGTCACATATCACCGAGAGCTCGCATAAAGAGGCTTGAGAATAGAGCTGTTAACGAGTTGAGCCAAATTTTAAGTGTTTGTTAACATTCGCGAACAAGGCTCTGTTCGTTCGTTAAACTTTCGAGCTCATTCGTAGTGTTCGAGCTCGGCTCGTTAAAAATTTTTATAATTTGAACTTGCGTTCATGTTCGGTTCGTTTAGGCTCGATTAAGCTCGTTCGAGTTCGTTCGAGCTCGTTTGTCTTATTTTTTAAAATTTATATAAATCATAAAGAAAATTTAAAATTATTTTATTTATATATTTTAAATTAATATTTTATTTATTTATAAATTATAATTTTATATGTATATATAATATTTATAATAAATATATTATTTAAACGAATTGTTCTGCTCGGCTCGTTACCGTTCGCGAACGAGCTTTGACTGAGCCGAATCGAACCGAGTTCACAAACGGCTCGGTTCGTTAACAGCTCTACCTGAGAGCCACCTTCTCTCACAAACTTTTGATAATTCTCAAACTACTCAAACTACTCGCATTCGGGTGTCCTTCCCTAGTTCTTTAGGAGTCAGTCAGTCAGGTCGATGTAAAAGTATTGATTGAATAAGAATAAGCACGGATGGAAAGAATAGAATTCATAACGGTAAAATTAGAACCGACAAAAATAGGTACGTACATTCTAAAAAAGTACAAGAAAAATGTACTTGAGGCTAAAAAGATAGACAATAAAAATTTTCGGGGCGTGCCTGGCTGGTCCGAGTTGTAAAGTAAATATATTTTTAAAAAATAATTATATAAATGTATTAACAAATAAATTTATATAAAAAATTAATTAACAAATAAATTTATATAAAAAATTAAGGTATAATCTAATGGTTTTATGTAAAAATTTATACGGAGGGAGTTTTGGCTCAAAACCATTTCGATCCCAATGTTAATGAAATGGGTCCAACTCTAACCCCGATTGAAACCTGCTTACATTAGTAATTTTAAAATTAATATTATATACTCCCTCCGTCAGTTTCTAAGCGTTATATTTATATTTTACGTCATTGTACTTAACATTAAAAATATTATTGTATTTATATAATTTTTTTTTTGTATAAATGTATTTCTATTAGTATTATAAGACACTAATAAAATATTTTTGCAATTTTTTTTAATTTGTATTACGTTTTGATATAATAATTAGTATTCAAATATTAATACTCAAAAAATAAATGAGACCCTTAGATCTAATATTTTTTGTGATTAGTCATACTATCTATTTTTCCATTTTAGTCCGTCTCATAACAAAATATCAGTTTCTTTTTTTTTTCCTTTTTTTTAAAGTAATTATACTATTTATCTAATATTACAAATACCCTTACAAGTTACAGTATATTACACAAATATCATTACCTTTATATCACACCATACTAATAAGGTTATTTTAGTTGTTTTAACTTTATTCTTATTAGCAAACGGATATTTAGTTATGGGACGGAAGGAGTATTATATATTTATACTTCTATACTTCTAAACCCGTTGTGTTGATATCCCTAAATACTATGCAAACTAAAGGAGAAAATAATCAAATAATCAACTATGCAAAGATCATTCTTTCAAATTCAGGGATCTAAACATTAGCATCATCAAATATGGAGTTAAAAGTTTCGATGGCACACTAAGTTCTAATTCAATTTGAAAAGAGGGAAAGAAATGTATACAGACCAACATGATGTTTCTTGAATAAGCAAATACTAGCAGGATTAGGAAGGAAAATCCTTTCTTAATTCTGATTTCATCCGAGCATTCCAACATATAAATCCTTATTTGAACAAAAAGGAAATCATAATTCATATCAAATTCAGAATTCCAAAGCCTCAAATCATTTCCTATCATCCGGTCAGATCGTAAAAGAGAGATCGAATTTGCAGGAAATCCAGCAAATTTTCATCTAATAGAGAGGATTGGACAGAATAAGTAAAGTTACCCTGATTGTGATTCAGGAAGGTAGCGCAGTGCGCGGCTTCGGCGGGGTCTTGGCGGTGATGGAGAGAGCGTGCAAACCGGACTGGAGCTCGCCGGATAGGAGTTCGTAAACCATACGGTGTCGCTTCACAAGGTTCAGACCTTCGAATTTTGGAGACACAATCTTAACATTGAAATGCGTCTCATTAGCAACGCCGCCTTCCATGGCTCTGACGGCGGCGTGACCGGCGTGCTGGTAGGAGACGTCCTCGACCTCTAAAACGGTGGCTTGCAGCGCCGTTTGGAGCTGCGTCTGGATTCGATTAGCTCTTGAACATAGCGTTCGCGTTGCCATTGATACCACGCCCGCTGCTCTTAGTTGGGGGCGACGACGACATCAATCGATTTAACCTAATTTTTGGGCGTGAATATTAATTGTGTTTCTTGTATAATTTTGTGGTTTTAATATATATACATATATATATATATATATATATTTTAAATATCAGATTAAATAATTATTTATTATATTCCATCTCTCCCATAAAAAAATATCCATTTGCTTTTTGAGGTAGCTTTAGAAATATTAGTATTATATTGGGATATAATTAAATAATTATTTATTATATTCTCTCAGTCCCATAAAGAAGTATTTATTTGAGTTTTGCAGGTAGTTTTATAAATATTAGTATTATACTAAGATATAGTAGGAATAAAGTATAAATGACTAAAATAATCTTATTTTATTAGTATGTGTGATATAAAAATAATGACATTGTAAGTTGTAAGGGTATTTGTAATGTTAGGTAGATAATACAATTACTAAAAAAAAAAAATGGATACTTTGTTATAGGACGGACTAAAATGAAAAAATTGATATTTTGTTACGGGAGGAAGGGAGTATTATATTATATTATTATATTAGTCTCTTAATTAAGTATTTATTTATTTTTTGGGGTTTAATTATAAATATTAATATTATATTTATATATAATATAAATTAAGAGAAAACAATAAAAATATATACAAATAAAATGACATTTATATAAATATTACACAAATTTAGAATATTTTTAATATCAAATACAATGACATAAAAGTAAATGAGTAGTTTGTTAAATGACGGAATGAAGTATTATTATTTTTTATTATTCGTATCCAAATAAAATATATATGAGTTTGTTTTTTTCATTTTCAAACTCGAAGTTTCTACTATTTGGACTTTGTATTTTAAAAAAAAAAAAAGTAAATTTTTTTTTTCTCTTACAAAATATCTCTATTATACATTGTTTTAATACAAAAGCTCAAAGTAAACTTCTCAAATCCATCAAAAGAAACATATATATAGTTAGTGTAATTTTGTTTAAATATTACTCATTACATCCCTTAACAATCTATCTATTTTTTTATTTTAATTCGTTTTATAAGAAAGTATTTGTTTCTTTTTTTAGTAATTGTATTGTCAATCTAACTTATAAATACCCTTTCAAATTCTATAGACATCAATATTTTTTCTATTAAGCCTGTTATAAATTTTTTTTCCAACGTAGCTTATCCAACTAGCGTTGTTTGTAGGCTATTATATCCAACTCGAAAATTTAATCAATACGCACTCGAAAAATAACAACTAAAAATTCTCAATGTCATAAAAAAGTAAGTTAAAGAAAATTTCAAACACAATGTAATAATAGCATGAGGCCAAACAACATATGTAAGTCATCGAAGGATTTAATACTACGAACACAAAAACGCCGATGTTCGAACAAATGAACTTAGATGGGGATTATTGATTGTTTTGACAAATTTGATCGATATTTTCTACTAGCGTATTTATATTCCATTGTAAATCAATGAAATCGAGAATTATACATAAGTGAAACAAAATAGTATAAACAAAAACTTTGGAGCCTTTGAAGGCTCAACGGATTACTATGGTGGAGGAGATGGAAGCCTTTGGAATGAATTGCTATAATCCTTCACACCACGTAAGGAACTACGTACTTGATCATGTCGTCGGTAGATATTTCTATATGTTTTCCAGACACTCTAATGTATTTCACTTTTCGTTCGTCATCCAACGTTTTTAGACCAATCCAATCCTCCGTATAAAGCCTCGTCTACATGCATTAAATTTTGAGTTAGTACCTAAATAAAAATACAAAATACTCCCTCCGTCCCATATCTATATATCTATTTGCTTTTTGCACAGAGTTTTAGAAATATTAGTATTATATTGGGATCAAGTAGAAATAAATGTAAAAAGACTAAATTAACCCTATTAGTATTGTAGGATATAAATGTAATGACATTTGTGTAATATATTGTAAATTGAAAGGGTATTTGTAATGTTAGGTAGATAGTACAATTACTAAAAAAGGAAATAGATACTTTGTTACGAGACAGACCAAAATGGAAAAATAGATAGATTGTTAAGAGACGGAGAGAGTAATATAAATTCTTTGTAGCAGTTAACACCTGATTTGGTGGCAAAATCGGACCAAACTTGTCATCCGGATAAAATCCAAACCAAGAGGTCTCCTTCGGAACCAATACAATGTCATCTTCAAACTACGAAAGGAAAACCATCATAGATAATCAATTATGTACACAATCATGAATATACTTTAAAGTATTAGCTCAAATATTCATACCATGATAAGAACGAGATTCTGTAAGTTAGAGAAACGTCGTTTGTAAATGACATTTTTCTTATGAGGGACTTCATTGTTAAGTATAGGGAGAAATTCACAGTTGCTCAAGTAGCCGCCAATGTTCTGAAGGAAATTCAAAAGTAATAAAATTACGAATATTGTTTAGATTACTTTTGTTTTTCAAATTAAATAAAAAGAAAATCGATCAAATTAAATAATTGCTTCATTCTCCGATTACTCACATTTGGAAGTTTTACATAACCACTAGGAGCCAAGTGAGCCTGCATATCGTATGAATACTCACAATTTAACGATAAAATCGCAAAATAAATAACTTATATATATATATTCATTGAATATTTGAATAAAATTATATTAGTAGTAGAGTGAATGTATATACATACTTGGGCATATTTAGAGTATGTCCCGGATTTGATTAACTTGTCTACAATGGCACAAAATGCACCACTCTGCACCAAATTAAAACAATATAAAACAAAAAAAATTATCGATTAATCTGTGTTATTAAATGAAATAAATATCATTTTAGTCTTCGAAATAATACATACGATCATTTTAGTAATGTAAATAACTAAAATTATTTTCGATTCATTTTAGTTATATCATTTTACAAGACTAAAATGATATATATGTCATTTAAGCGTCACAAAAAATATAAGACGATTAGAGTGACGGTAAATGAAGTATAATTTTTTTTTTTTTATCCATATATCAGTTAAATGATAATATTAATATTGAATATCACTTATATATCAATAATTATACCTTTTTTCATAATTAAAATTCAATAAATAAATACTACTTCCTCCGTCACAATATATATGCTCAAATTTTTGGGCACGTGGTGTGTATTTTTAGTTTTCTATAGTAAAAAAAATGTATTATGTCCGTTCCGCCACATATGACTTATTTTTCTCTTTTCTACGTTTTACAAAAGATGATCCATTTTCATTTTTAGTAATTTTATCAATTTTAAATATACTTAACAAATATAAATCAATTTAATTTAATTTATAACATCTTACACATAGAACCCGCTCAAAACTCCTTTATTTCTATGTCTCTCCTCAATTAACATAATTTTATGTATATATATATATCTTTAAAACTCATTTTTTTATAAAACTAATTTATGGTAATGATAAATAAATATGTATTATATAAAATTTTATTATTTATAGAATGACATCCATATTGCATGTATTTTTTGGAGATATAATCTTAAATTTTTTAAAAATACCAATAATATTATTTATATAAAAAATAATAAACTAATATCATAATTTATTATTAATAACTTAATAATCTACACTACCTAAAAAAACTGTGCCGCTGGATTCATCCCTTGCGGGACATAGGGAGTATAAAAGTTTATATTATTCTTTAATAAATAAAAATATTTTTATGTGACAAACAAATAAAATAAAAAAAAAAAAAACACAAATTTAAATGAGATGGAAGTGATTGAGTTACCCCACAAAGAGGAAGTGAAGCAATACCAGCATGGGGTCCTCCCAAAGATACAAAATTTCTAACCTGCATTATTAATTGTCGATAAAATTAATAATTGATGGATAAATTTAAATTATATTATATGCACTTTGGGTGGGAAAGGTTGGAATATTTGCATATATATACATGTTTTGTTTTCACATTGAATTGAAAATATTCCAAACTGTGAATCATGCCGGAATAAAAAAATATACTCCCATCGTCCTAAAACTGTAGTTTGGGTTATGTTTGACACGAGATTTAAAAAATATTGATATTATATTGGCAGTGGGTAAAAAGTACGAGTAAAAGATGTTTTTGCTTTTGTGAATGTATTAGTGTAAAAAGTAGTGACAATTGTGTAATAATAATGAAAAAGTAATGGTAGTTTTATAGTGATACGATTATTTATGGAAATAAGACTATTGTTTTGGGACGGACAAAAAGGGTAAATTATATAACACATCCTTGTGTTTTACTAAAAATATACAAAACACCATGTATTTTATTTATTGTGTGAAACCCTCTTGTGTTAATGGAAAATTTGCATGAAACACCCACCTTGTACAAAACTGATGTTTGATTTGAAATAAAGACCTAAATTATGTAAGTTTTATACAAATAAAAAAACGTAAAATATCTTAAATAATTTTTTTTGAATAAAAGAAATAAGTATATAATTGATCAATCATTTATTTTTATAATTTTTATAAAAATCAGACAATAATTTGTCTCTAAAAACTATAAAATGAAGGATTAATAAATTATTTATTTATTTATTTATTTATTTAATGCAAAAAAATTATTTAAGATATTTTTTGTTTTTTATTTGTATAAAACTTACGTAATTTAGGTATTTATTTAGAATTAAATATCAGTTTTGAACAAGAAGGATGTTTCGTGCAAACTTTACATTAACACAAGGGAGTTTCTCGCAATAAAAAAATATATGGTACTTTGTACATTTGTATATATTTCAAATACATATGACTTTTTTATGATTGATTTTTATTAAAAAAAAAATGTGTGTGTGATAAATTTTAAATAATATGTTTTATATTAAAACATTGATATTTTATATATTTAGAAAGTCTATATATTACTTTGTGTAATATGTTCATTTGGCAAGCACAAGTTTAATGTAATGTGTTATGCGTATTTTTTTTTATCTTTTATAATTTAAAAAAAAAAGTAAAAAAATAAATATAAATTAATAATATAAGTTTTTATTTCAAAAAATAATAATAATAAACATATTTTTTAAGAAAAATAAAAGAGCATATTTATTTTATATTAGGGTAAAACTGTTTTTTAGTCCCGTAACTGGACCCCCTTATCATTTTAGTCTCGTAAGCAGAGCATGTCGCAAACTAGTCCCATAAGTGAAAAATTTTCGCTGTTTTAGTCATCTGGCGCCAGAGGTGACATGTCCGCCAGGTGTCGCTGACGTGGCGGACACGTGGATTTTTTTTGTTTATTTTTTTCATTTTTAAATTTTTTTTAAAACTTATTTTTAATTTATTTTAAATTTTATTTGCATTTTGTTTATTTGGTCCAATTAAAAAAAATGAAAAAAATAAAAATAAATCCACGTATCCGTCGGGTGTCGCTGACTTGGCGGGACATCTGGCGGAGACATCACCTCCGGCGAGCCACGTGGGCGTCTCCGGCGCCGGATGACTAAAACAGTGAAAAATTTTCACTTATGGGAGTAGTTTGCGACAGGTTCCATTTACAGGACTAAAATGATAAAGAGGTTCAGTTACGGAACTAAAAAAAACAGTATAATACCCTTTGTATTATTATTAAATATATAAGTGACTTACTGGTGGTCCTCCTTCACAGAATTCCACAACACCTCGCCCTATCAAGTTTCCCTGTAATAATCAAACAACGCTGCCTCAATTTTCAATGTATTTACATTAATGGTTTTGTTTACTTAACCAATTTTCGCTTGCACTATTTATTTTTTAAAAAAATATGTATTTTTTCAGCAAAACATCAAATTAAATATTAATATGTTATTTTATTTTATTTTTCAAATTTTTAAAATTTCAAAAAAAAATAAAAATATTATAAATAATGAAAATTGAATATTTAGTATGATATTTTATAAATATATATGTGATTTGATTTAAACAAAAAAATATTACTCATTTCGTCCCATGTATTATGAGCCTATTCCCGTAGATACGAGAATTTGAGTAAAGTGTGATTAGTAAGTAATTAAGAAATGTATTAGTAAAAATAATTATCGTATAATAAAAATAATTGTGGATTAAGATGAAGATAACTAAATAGTTTAATTAAGATTAAAAAATTATAAAATTTAAATTTTAAAATGGGATAAAGTGTATAATTATATTTCCAAAAAAGAAATGGACAAATTATGTGGGACGGACGAAAATAGAAAATAGAAACAAATTATGTGGGACGGAGGAAGTACTTCTTTTGTCTCAGAACTATAGTCTTGGTTAAGTTGGACACGACATTTAAGGAATATTGATATCATATTGATAGTGGATAAAAAATATAGGTAAAAGACTTTTTTGTCCTTGTGACTGTATTAATGTAAAAAAAAATTGTGGCAACTGTGTAATAATAATAAAAGATTAAAGGTAGTTTTATAGTGATATAATTATTTATGAAAATAAGACTATTGTTTTGGGATTGAAAAAAATAGTAAATAAGACTATTGTATTGTGACAGAATGAGTACTATTTATAAAAAATATATACATCAAAATTAATTTGAAATATAATACTCCCTCCGTGTCCTTTTTACTGTATACATGGGATATAGTTAGTAAATATTTTAAAATGTATTAGTAAAAATAATTATTAGATGATAAAAATAATTTGAAATTAAGATAACTAATTATTCAAATTAAAACTAAAAAAATTATAAATTAAAATATTTAAAATGAGATTAAATGTATAGTATTTTCAAAAGAAGAAAAATGACATAATGAGTGAGACAAAACAGAAATTAAAAAAGTGGAGACGAAAATTAATTTATAATTTTTTTAATTTTAATGAAACTAATTAGTTATCTTAATTTTAATCTATAATTATTTTTACTTCTCCTAAATTTCGTATTTACTCGAACATAATAACTGAGAGAGAGAGTATTATTGTTTACATTAATATAATGATTCACCTTTTTTCTGTAAAAACATCATATTTAAGTTTCATACAAAATGTTGGGTTTGTTTGGTTTTGATTTCCCTTTTTTATGTTTACTATTTATCTACAATAATTTATTTTTCTCCTAAGAAAAATTAAAAAAAAATAAAAATAAAAATACCGCTGCATTAATTTTCTTTATTCATCTGTATATAAGAGAGAAATGAAAATAAAAAAATAAAAATAATTTATTTATCAAATTTCGTTTCTCTGAAGCAAACAAAAAAGAAAAATAAAACTATTTTTATTTCTTTCGCCTCATTTCTTTGTACCAAACACAATCTAACAGTTAATTGAAACTATATTTAATATAATTGCTATGTTATTTTGGCATTTAGTTTCAGTTTTTATGTTTTTACCATGTAATTATGGTAACATTTTTATAAAAAAAAGGATATTATTTATTCTTATATAATTTTATTTTCAAATTAAAAATTAAAATAAAAGAAAATCAAACTTGAAAAATATATTCTCAAAGGGAAGAACTAACTTGTGAGAGGCCGACAATATTATAACCATCTTGTAGTTCTTTTATCTGCTTCACCTGTAAATCATTTTTTTTTTTTATTTTTTAAGAATCTTGTTGACTAATAAATAATAAAAAAATATATCAGATTCAGCAATATATATAATCACCTTAGTACATGCAATTTCCACCTGCAAATCAATTCAATTTAATATTCAGATGGAATATATATATATATATATATATATTTAAATTAATAATAAACTCATATATAATCAATCAAATAATAAATAATTGGATTCTTGCTTACCTGTTCTTGTAAAGGCTTAAACCAAGAATCCATAAATCCATTTCCAATTTCTCTACAAAAATATCAACATAAATAAACGAGGGTTTGGATTTTGAGTTGGGATTTGAATGGTAAAAAATTTGAATTTGAATAATTGTATGATGTGATATAAATAGTTGTTGATGTGATGTTTTGAATGTAAAATTGCTTTTTAAGTATAATATAAAAAATTAAAAATAAATATTTGATTTGATGTTTTTTAGGAAAAAAAAATGAGATGAATAGTATGTTTAAAATTCAATCCCCAAGCAAACATACCTTAAGAGTTTTGAAAATCTTGAAGATTTTTTTTTTTTTTTTAAAAAATAATATAAAAATAGTGATCTTATATGATATTTTGAGAATATATATAGTATATATTTAAAGTAGGTTTTTGATAAAAAAAAAAAAATTATGATTAATTAAAAAGGTCAAAATTTTTATAAATATATGTAAACAAAGCATTTTTTTTTTTCAAATAAGTTATCCTTAATATTAATTATATTTTCCATTACATGTGTTGTTTAAATTATATTAATTAATATTAATTATATTTTAAATTAGGAATATTTGCAACTTCTTTTTATTTCTTCTTTTATATATTTTAATAAAATATATAAAAATATATCAAACAAAAGATAGAGACCAAAACATATATTAAAATTATACCTAAAAAATTGTATAAAAACAGGCTGGAGTGAGATCTCAAATTCTCTAAAAAAAAATGTATGGCATGTATTCAATACTTATATATAATAATTATTTTAACTCAAAATATTGAAAAACAATATATAAAAAAAATATGTACAATATATCTGTTTGGTAATTAAAAAAATAAAAATTGATTTAAATAATTATTTGAATATGAATGTAATTCAATAAAATATTATATTTTCATTAAAATTATAAAAATTAAACATTAGAAATCTTTTAAAAAATAATCAAAATATCCAAGAGGGGTCTTACAAGCAAAAACCTTCAGATTTGGACAAATTCTTGAGTTCTTGTGTAAATCCGTCTACTTTGTTGCTCGAACATTCATCTCCAATTCCTGTACGTTAAATCGACAAAATTATTAATTTATAATTTATATACGGTGTAATTCAAAAGATTTATGCAGTATTTTTGAAAATATTAGAAGACTGTATAATTTCTCATTAAACTAAGAAGATGAATATATATACTTTTCAAACTATATATGAATTATAAACAATTTTGCGTAAACATATGCTTCATCCGTCTCATATCTATATATTCATTTGTTTTTTGTACGGAGGTTTAGGAATATTAGTATTATATTGGAATAAAGTAGAAATAAACGTAAAAAGACTAAATTAACCCTATTAGTATTGTATGATATAAAGGTAATGACATTTGTGTAATATATTGTAAAGTTGAAGAGTATTTGTAATGTTAGGAAGACAGTACAATTACTAAAAAAAGAAAATGAATACTTTGTTATGGGACGGACCAAAATGGAAAATAGATAGATTGTTAAGAGACGGAAGAAGTAATTCTTACCATGTACAACGACAAAAGGAATGGAGACACAACCTCGGATCAGACAACACACAATCAAACTCCATTTTAACAAAACCCGAATTGAGTTCACTTCGCCACCAAAAAACCTCATTTTTAATTTCTTCTTCTTCTTCGCCTTCTTCCTCGTCGATGAGCGCTCTCTCTCTCTCTATCTCTCTCTCTATATATATATATGTATGTATATATGCCTAGAAGAAAATTTATAAATGTTTGATTTGAATGGGAATGGGAAGAACTAATAGAGAAAATGGTATGGAATTGGCCGTCCAAATCGACCTCCATTATTATTTAATATTTATTCACATTCACATTTGTTTCTTCTAATTTAATTTAATGTATTGGCCAATAAATTTTAAATGTTTGGTAAGTAATATAAATGTTTAGTATTTACTATTTAAGCAGTAAATTTACTATTACATATTTAAGCACGAGGAGCTACATGCCTTTTTATCTCTTTACTAAATTAATATTTAATATAATATACTCTCTCCGTGCCAGAACTAAATATTCATTTGCTTTTTGCACGTAGTTTTAGAAATATTAGTATTATATTGGAATATAGTAGGAATAAAGTAGAAATAACTAAAATAACTTTATTAGTATGTGTAATATAAAGTAATGGCATTTGTGTAATATATTGTAAGTTGTAAGGGTATTTGTAATGTTAGGTAGATAGTACAGTTACTAAAAAAGAAAATGGATACTTTGTTATGGAACAGACTAAAATGAAAAAATAGATATTTTGTTATGGGACGAATGGAGTATTAAATTGAAAATAAATTTTAAGAAGTACTCCCACAGTCCCACCAGAATTGAACCCTTTAATAGAGACACGGTATTTAAGGTGAGGATGTTTAATTTGTTAATAATAATTAGTTATGATATTATTATATTATTTTTTTATATAATAATAATATTTATAGTTTTAAAGTAAATTTAATATATATGATTAAAAATATTAAATTATATATTTAAATATTTAAAAATTATATAGCAATTAAAAAATATATGTGATATGGATATCATTTTGTAAAGAATAAAATCTTCTATAATATAAGTAAATAAAAAAAAATATTTTTGTTTATTTATAATTAACATAAATCAATTTTATAAAAGATGTGTAGTTTTAAATATAGATAAAATATTTATTTTTTAGGAGAGAGGTAAAAATAAAGGGGTTTTGAGCGGATCCTACGTCATTTATGATGTTGTATGTTATGTAGTTAATTAAGTTGATTTATATTTGTTAAATATGTTTTGATTTAATAATTTTTACCAAAAATAGAAATGTATCAGTTGTTACGGGACAAACAAAATGGAAAATAGTGTCAATTGTGGTGGGACGGAGGGAGTAGTTTCTTAAATATTTTCAAATATTTTATCTAACTATATATATATATCTAACTCAAAGACCCTTTTTTTTTTCAATAAAAAAAAGTCAAATTAAAATAACTTATAAAAGTTATGTTTGAATACGATGTGGGAACTCGGGGGTTTAAAACCATTACCTCATGATCACAAGTCTAACTTCCACACCACCACGTTATTTCTTACAACATGATATTAATAAATCATTTCAATTGATATTTTTTAATTTTTTTGTTTACATATTTCTATTTTAGATAAAATATATTAAATTAAAAGATACATAATAAATATAAAGCAATTTAATTAACTACATAATATATAACATTATAAATTATGCAAGACTCGTTCAAAATTCTTTTATTTTTATATATTTAAAAAAATATTTTTATCTATATGTAAAACTCCACTTCTTTTATAAAATTTAGTTTATATTAATTATAAATAAATATAATTTTTTATTTACTTGTATTTAAAAAATTTTATTCACTACAAATAAATTGCAAGATAATTTTTAAAATATTTGAATACATTACCTAATTTTGTGAATTATATATTAAATTTATTTTAAAACTATCAATTTTATTAATTATATAAAAATAATAAAATAATCATATAACTTATTATTATGAACTAATTGAATGCTCTTATTATTTTAAATACAGTGTATTCAATCGAGACAAATGAAATATATAAAATAAATAATACAACTGTACAAATATATAAATACGGTTTTGGATTGGGTGCTGATTTTATTTAGGTTAAAAAATAATTATGTTAATATATTTTGTAAATTATATAATTAATATAATTATATATATAAAGTCCACCCAATCCAAACCCTATAAATACATAAGAAGTAAATAAAAACATAACATATAATAATTGGGACATGTGTTCAATGTCTGTGTTGACTATTAGAATGTATGATTATATATATATATATATTTAATGACGTGAGAATCTGCATTCGCTACCAGAAAATGTATACTGGGTAAATTTTCGACCGAATTTAATACCCTGTAAACTAAACTGTAGACACGGTAGGCGAACTAAAAATTAAATAATAATTGCAAACTAGACTGTAGACACGGTTCAAACCACTATTATTACTCCATCGTCTCAGATACCGTGTCTGCTACACTGTAGACACGGTATTTTAGGATGGGTGTAATTAGTAGATAATTAAGAATGTATTAGTGAAAATAATTATTCTATACTATAAATAATTATAAATTAAGATTAAGATAACTAATTAGTTTAATTAAAATTTTTTAAAAAAAATTAAAAATTTAAAATGAAATTAAAATGTGTAATCATTTTCCAAAAAAAGAAAGTAACATGGTATGTGGGACGAACAGACGGCAACGTGGACATGGTATCTGGGACGACGGAGGGAGTATTATTATTATTATTATTATTATTATTATTATTATTTAATGATTTACCTAATAACTGGTACTGAACACCTAATTGATACTGAATACCTGTAATTAATTCAATGCTATAACTATAAAGCTAGCTAGGTAGAAGCTCAATTGCTAAAAAAAAAAAAAAAAAAAAAAAAAACAAAACCGACTATTTGACAGTAATAATGCTGAAGTTAAAATTTATTACTATTTTGTCTGCTACACTGTAGATACGATATTTTAGGAGGATTGTAATTGGTAGATAATTAAGAATATATTAGTGAAAATAATTATTCTATAATATAAATAATTATAAATTAAGATTAAGATAACTAATTAGTTTAATTAAAATTTTAAAAAAAAATTAAAAATTTAAAATGAAATTAAAGTGTATAATCATTTTCCAAAAAAGTAAAGTGATATGGTATGTGAGACGGACACAAGCAGCAACGTGGACATGGTACGTGGGACGGAGGGAGTAATATTTTCTCCATCATAGTTAATTTGTCTCATTTAGATTAGACAAAGAATTTTAACTATTGTGTAATTAGTAATAATTAAGAAGTGTATTAATAAAAATAATATGATTTAATAAAAATAATTATAAATTAAGATTAAAATGACTAAATTATTTAATTAAAATAAATATATATATATATATAAATTATGAATTTTAAATATATAATTATATTTCTAAAAAATATTATAAATTATTTAGGATGAACATAAATTAAAAAAGAGGACAAATTAAATTGAACAGAGAAAGTACTCTATTGAATATCACATAGTGTGTTAACAAATAACATAAAATATTATTATTGACAATAAACCATTTACATTAATATAATCTAAATATAATACATGAACTAACAAGATATGATATAGTCTAACGCATTATATGCAATAATTGATTTTAACGCATGACATATTCTTATACAACACACACTATAATTATGAATAAATAATACATATTTTTATTACAAATATCACATAAATTGTGTGTAGTAAAAATATGTATTATTTACATATTTTACGTATCAACACGTAACTCTTACCGGCGCACCTATAGTTTAAAGAGGGCAATTATGCCAAAATTCTTAGGGTGTGTTTCTTTATGGGGTTTTTGGGAAATTTGAGTTTGGATTTTGTTTTTATTTGAATTTTGAGTTTGGATTTTGTTTTTATTTGAATTTTGGGATGAATTTGAATTTTGTTGTTTCTTTTGTATTTGAGTTTGGGGTTTTGAGAGTTTTGATGTGTATTGATTTGATGGATAATGAATAAAATAATATAAATGTATATTAAATTTAATTGATAAAATTTATATTGTATGATTTGATTATGAATTTATATTATACCCAACATAAATATATTTACATTTTTATTTATTTGTATTATAGAAAATTTTATTCTTTACAAAATGACATATATATTGTATATATTTTTTTCCCTTATAATTATAATAAATATTAAGGGGAGAAAAATACTCTTTGTCCCATGTAATATGGGTGTATAATTAGTATAATTAGTAAGTAATTAAGAAATGTACTAGTAAAAATAATTATTATTTAGTAAAAATAATTATAAATTAAGATTAAGATAACTAAATAGTTTAATTAAGATTAAAAAAAAATTAAATCTTAAATTTTAAAATATGATTAAAGTGTATAATTAATTTTCGAAAAAAAAAAGGACCAATTATGTGGGACGGACGAAAGTAGAAAATATGGACAAATTATATGGGGACGGAGGGAGTACATTTTTTCCCTTTTTCCCAATTTTCCTAAATTTTACTATTTGGACTATGCGTTTCCCGAAAAAATTTATATATTTTTTTCCTTTTACAAAATATTCCATCAAACATTATTTTAATACCAAATTCAAACAAAAATTTCTCAAACTCAACCAAAAGAAACACACATTATATTTTAATTGAAAAAAAGAAAAGAAAATAAAGTCAAATTTGCTGCAGTTTGGGTCGGCAAAACTGTAGACAACAGACCTATAATAATATAGATGTGTATTAATTTGTATAAATATATTTTATATATGCATCTATATTATAAATTTTTATTTATTTATATTATAAATTTTTTTTATTTATTTTCAGCATTTTCAGACTTTCTCCTCCAAAACACAAGTTTGAGCTTTTCTACTGTGCAAAAAGTGAAAACGCCCAAACCTGGACTAAAGAAACAAGCCCTTAGTTACAATGCCATACGCCATACGGTTCAAATCGCCTGTTCCATTTCTTCATGTTCCCTATGTTTACCACTTATATTTTGACAGTTATACTGATATGCAATGAATCCCATATATATTATTATTTATATTTTAAAGTAATTTTTATAGTTGAAATAATTTTTATTTAAA